CTGCGCCTTGAACTCGGCGTTGGCCTCCTCGAGATCGACGGTGTGCGCCTGCTCGCGCTGCACCAGGGCGCGCGCATCGGCAACTTCGGCCTCGCGGTCGGCGAGCTGCGCCTTGAGGCCGGCAGCGTCGGCATTGCGCTGGGCAAGCTGCGCCTTCAGGCTGGCAGTGTCGGCGTCAACCTCACCGAGTTGCGCCTTCAGGCCAGCAATGGCACTGTCACGCGCAGCCAGGTCGGTCTCAAGCGCCTGGCAGCGCGTCTCGAGCTCGGCGTAGCCGGCGCGCACGTCGTCCAGCGCGGCGAAGGCCTCCTGGTTGGCGTCCTCGAGCTGGCGCGCGCGCGCAACAGCGTCCTGGTCGTACCGCTCCTTGAGGTCCTCGTACTCCTGCGACTGCGTGGTGATGCGCTGCTGGAAGCTGTCCTTGATGGACTCGTTCTCTTCGAGCCGCGCCTGCAGCTCCTGGGCTGTGCGGCGCGCGGCGGCCAGCTCCTTGGACAGCTCAGTGGCCAGCTCCTCGCGGCTCATGCGCGACTCAGCCAGCTGCGCCTCCGCAGCGGTGCGCGCGGCGGCGGCCTGGTCGTGGTCGTGCTGCAGCTGCTCGATCTCGCCGCGCATCTGCGCCTCGGCGTCGACGTGCGCCAAGCGGAAGTCCTCAAGTTCGGCAGCCGTGTCGGCCAGCTCGCTGCGCAGCGCGGCCAGCTCGGCCTCGGCGCGGCGGCTCTCTTCGGCGCGGCGGCTCTCCTCGGCTCTGCGGCTCTCCTCGGCCAGCTCGTCGTTGGACGCGCGCGCCTGCGCCTGCGCCAGCGCAGCCTCCAGCGCACCGATGCGCTCGAGCGCGCCTGAGTGGTCAGCCTCGACGGCCTCCAGTGCGGAGCGGTACTCAGCGGCCTCGTCACGGCGGCTCTCATCGGCAAGCCGGCTCTCCTCGGCCAGCTCGTCGCTGGACGCGCGTGCCTGCGCCAGCGCGGCCTCCAGCGCACCGATGCGCTCGAGCGCGCCTGAGTGGTCTGCCTCGACGGCCTCCAATGCGGAGCGGTACTCGGCGGCCTCGCTGGCCTCGTCGCGCAGCCGCACAGCCTCGTCACGCAGCTGCACAGCCTCGGCCGCCTGCGCCTCCAGGTCGGCGCACAGCTCCTCGAGCTCGTCCAGCTTGGCGGCGTGCTCACGCAGGCTGTCCTCCAGCGCCACCCCGCGCTCCTGTGTGCGCTTGAGGATCTCCTCCTGGTCCAGCGCCGCACCGCGCTCGGCCTGCAGCAGCGCCTCGGCCGCGGCCTTGGCCCGCTCCATGTCCTGGCTCGTCGCCTCCAGCTCGCGACGCGCCGCGGCCTCGCTGTCGACGCGTGCCTGCAGCTCGGCAATGCGCGTCTCGCGCTTGCGCATCTCCTCGTCGACGCGCGTCACGTGCAGCAGCGGCTTGACGGTGCGGTACAGCTTCCACCACGGCCACTCGCACAGCTGGTTGTACACGCGTGCGTTGCGCTGGATGACGCGGATGGCGCGCGCCTGCTCAATGCGGCGGCGGAAGCGGCCGCGCGACAGCGCGCCGCGCGCGACGGCCTGCAGCTGCGTGATGATCTTGGACAGCTCAATGTCGCGCTCCTCCTCGAGCTCGGCCAGCACGCCCGCGCGGAAGAACACCTTTGTGTGGCCGAGCCGGAACTTGGCCGCGTCCATGTGCAGCGCGCCCAGCAGCAGCGACGCCGCCTGTTTGCTGTCGACAAAGACCTGGCGCGGGATGGTGTTGGGCGCCAGGATCTCGTAGCGCTGCCGGAACTCCGGGAACGCGACGCGGTTGGGGAAGCCCTGCCGCGTAATGCGGATACCCTCCAGCACGCCATTGCAGCGCAGCTGGTCCAGCACCAGCGGCGTGTCGATGACACCGGCGCGCTTGTCGCCGTTGGGCAGGATGCAGCGCACAAAGTGCGGCTGCGTCGCGTTGAGCTGCGCCATCAGCAGGTTGAGCTGGTCCTTGTGCCGCTGGCCGACTGTGCGGAACGCGCCGCGCTTGAGCGTCGTGGCTACGCGCGCGCTGCCGCCGCCAACACCCATGCCGCTGCCGCTGCCGCTGCCGCCACCGGCACTGGGCTCGCCGCAGTCTGCGTACAGCTGCGCGACGAACGGCTCGGCCGAGTTGCCCAGCAGCCGCGTCACGTTTTCGTTGAGCGGATCTTTGTTCTTCTCGAGCCAGCCCTCGGTGCTGTACTCGACCTGCGACGCGTAGTGCCGCACTATGAACCCCAGCGCGAACCGCGGCACGTCGTACTTGTCCGAGCGTCCGGCCCACAGCCCGTGCAGCTTCTCGGTGAACGTCTTGTCGGTCGCCTTGGGCATCACGCACTCCTCGTCCAGGCACGACATGATGCCGATGGGCTTGGTGCGGTCGATCAGCTCGATGGTCGGCTGCAGGTCCATGCCAAAGTCGATGAAGTTCCACTCGATGCCCTCGCGCTTGTACTCCTCCTGCTCCAGCACAAACATCGTGCGGTTGAAGAACTGCTGCAGCCGCTCGTTGGTGTAGTTGATGCACAGCTGCTCGAACGAGTTGGTCTCCAGAATCTCAAACCCGGCAATATCCAGCACGCCGATGAACGTCGACTTGCCCTCGGGCCGCTGCATTGCCGAGTTGATGCGCCCCACCAGCGCGCCGAACATGCGCTCGTACAGCGACCGCGCCAGTGCCTCGACCGAGTACATGACCTGCTGCAGCGTGCGTGACTGCGTCACCCAGTCGCGCCCGGCTTTGATGCTGGGTCGCAGCAGCGCGCGCGTAAAGTCCGACAGCGGGATGCCCAGCACGTGGCATAGCTTCTCAGCCGCCACCTGCTCGCCCAGCACCGCTTCGTCGTTGCGCGTCGCCTGGAACTGCATGTTGCCCAGATGCAGGATTGCCGCGATGATCCGGAACAGGTCCGTCTGCTCCTCGGGCCGGAACCCCGTCGTCGTCATCGCGCGCACCAGCGTCTCGAACTCGGCGCGGTCGTCGACACCCTGGATCGTCTGCCGGCACTTCTTGGTGAACGTGTACCCCTCGGGCCCGCGGTCGATCAGCAGCTTGTCCTTAACGCTCTTCTCGGCGCCCTTCATGAACTGGTAGAACACGTGGTAGTTGCGCTCCTGCGACGACTGGTTGGTGACGCGCGGCTTCTCGAGCAGGTACCACTCGATGTTGGCGCCGGCGATCTGCCCGGCAAAGTTGAACTCGATGCGGATGAACTTGCCCTACTTTGAGCAGAAAAAGAAGAGAAGGTGAGGTAAAGTATGGTAAAGGGGGGGTGCCAGAAGCAGGTAGCCGATTAGAACACCTGTCACATCCACTGCCTGTGCACTTGGTCAAATCGACAGAACAACAAAGGGGGATACTTACAAATCGCGACGAGTTGTTGTTGCGGATCGTCTGCGCGTTGCCGAACGACTCCAGAATCGGGTTGGCGCTCAGCACCTGCTGCTCCAGACTGCTGCCGCTGACGCCGCCCACGGTCTTGTGGTGGTCCCCAGCGATCGCCGTCAGGTACTGGATGACCTTTTTTGTGTTCTCCGTCTTTCCTGCACCCGACTCGCCCGTGATCAGAATCGACTGGTTTTCCTTCGAGTGCAGCATATCGTGGAATGCCGCGTCGGCAATCGAAAAGATGTGCGGCACAACTTCGCTGCGCTTCTTATTCTTGTACGCCGCCACGTACTCGGGCCCATATATCTGCAGGTTGTAGTAGGGGTTGACGGCAACCAGGAACAGCCCCGAGTACGTGTATATCATGTTTGAGGCGTAGCGTTGTTTGAGGTTGTGCACCACCGAGGCCTCGTTGAGGTAGCCCAGGTCGGCCATGTCGTCCACCTTTTCGAACTTTGGCGGGTTGACCTTTTCTGTCTCGCTCAGCCTAACTGATATGTCACGCCCAGACATTAGGTGTACCACAACCATGTCGTTGCCCTCTTCCTTGACCACGTACCCGGCAATATACCCTTCCTTGTCGTGCGGCACCCAGACCCATTTCTTGTCGGTAAAGTTCACATTCGCCTGCTCGAACAGGTCGGGCACTACCTGCGCTGACCGGCTGCTCAGCGATGCTGTGGGTGCCGGGCTCTCGGGTCGGTCGAGCCCTTGTTGAATGGCCCGGCGGATGCTGGCCACCGTGGCGCCCTGTCGGCTATTCCGGAGCATTGTCGCTATAAAGAAGCAAAAGCCGTTGCTGTTGCTTGTTTTTGTTTTTAAAAGTTAATCAAGGTTGCTTGTCTGCCTGACTGACTGACTGACTGACTGACTGACTGACTGCCTGCCTGCCTGCTTGGACTGTCAGTATGCGCGTTTGTCGCTGTGTGTGGGAGTGAATAAATAAGACGATGGGGGGATGGGGTGTGGGCGGGGGGCAGTGCTGAGGCTATAAGGTGCCCAATAATGTACTGTAATGTTTAGAGTAAAAATAATTAAAAACAACAGGAAAAAATAGAAGAAAAAAAAAGATACTTGGGCAGAAAGAGAAAGGAGCGGCAATACGATGCGCAAAGAACATGACCTTTTTTATTTTACTTTGCACAGCGCAAATGAATAACCCGCTTTTTCAAAACGTAAACACAAAGACCGAAAGGAGCAGACAAAAATGGCATTACGTCGTCGGTGAACCTTTATTTTTTTTTCCAACATGAATAAAAATTGAAGGGAAAAAAAACTCAAAAATTGTCTTTGCGCTGACGGTGTAGTGTGCTGCATCTTAAATTTACCTGCCGCTTCTCTAGTACATGTCCCCCCATTCCCTTGCTTACAATACGTCTCACCACACCACACACACCCCCCCACTCCGCTTTCATTTGCCCTGTTTTGCAAAACAAACAACAAAATTTACAAGTGTTTCAAAAATACACTCAATCCAATCAAATCAATCGGCGGAAAACCTGACGCAGCACTTATGGTCTGGTCACAGCTGACCTTGGTCTTGGTCTTGGTCTTGGTCATGGTCATGGTCATGGTCTGCTCAAAGCCAAAAATGCAAAGAGAAGATTTCAAGTATTTTTCAACAATGATAATATTAATTAAAGCGCCACTTTGACCAACACAAGAATGAAAAAAAGATAAATCAACTCAGTTATCCCTCCTAATTGTCCATTTCATCGTCTGACACGTCCTCGACGAGCGTCTTGCGTGACGTCGGCTGATTGGGACTATCGACAAGCGCTGGCGCTGTATTATTTCCAGCAACAGCCTGCTTGCGCGGCAGCCACTTGACCGGATTCCGCTTGTAGAACGGCCATGCCGGCAGCACAACAATGTATGTCAGTGCGACGCCCGCCACGTATGTGTAGAAGCACAGGCTGAGCGCGTGCTGCGAGTACCCGATTATCACTGCTGCGAGAGCAGAGCCGACGATGAGGAACGTGGCCAATTTGCTCACCAACTCCTGACCCTTAAAGTCTATCCTGCCGCTTTCGTACATTGACGTGAGAAGGGCCATGCTTGCTGTGAAATGTTTAAATGTAAGAGTAGAATCGGGGAGGCCAAAAATAAAAAATGAAGAACGCAAATGAGTGTCGGAATGCTGATTGGAGCTGAGAGGAATAGAAGAAGAAAACAAAAATTAAGAAAGGCCTTCTCCCCTCCTCTCTCTTCATGCACCCTTTTCAACATAAGCAGTAAATTGTTTTTTCTTTTCCTTCTTCTTTTTTGTTGGCCACCAGCGATTGATTGGAAAGCGGCTGCAAAGCCAAAGTGGCGGGAGATAAAATTGAGAGCCACTCTTTTGTTCTAAGAAATTAACATTATTAACCATTTTATTACTGCGAAATATGAGCGGGCTGGTCGGTCGGTCGGTCGGTTGGTCGGTTGGTCCGTCGGTCCGCCCACCCCGCTCAGCTTGTCTATCCACGGGGGCCAAACCTTTCGTTTTCATTCGGATGCGCCCGGCAGGTCCTGGCCCAGACCGCTGAACAGCTCAAAGATGGACTCGGGGCTCTTCTGAAAGTTGTTCTCGACAATGTTCATCAGGTACCAGTCGTCGCTGATGCCCTTGATCAGCGTGGCGGGCGTGCTGTCGCGGTCATACACGTTGGCCCAGGCGTTCCAGAAGTCGAAAGCCTCGTCCTTCCAGGCGAGGAAGCTGACGCGCTCGACGATGGTCGGCTGCAGGATCTCCTTGCCGGGGAACACGCCCCAGGTGACAGCATTGGGGCTGTCCTCCTGGCAGTTGGTCAGCAGCTCGCCGCGCTTCGACACGGCGTAGTAGGTCAGCGACGGCTCCTTGTCCAGGCGTGCCAGCAGCGCATGCATGTTTTCAGGCGACGTGAAGAACTCGAGGTAGGCCTTCTTGTAAACAAAGCCGTTGGACGGGCCCCAGCCGTGGATCTTGTCGCTGGACGGCGCGCCATTGCAGCTGGGCTGGCTGTTGATGGTCAGGAAGCCGCGCGCGTTGATGCTGGCCAGGCAGTCCTCGATGGCCGACGACTCGGGCTGCAGCGGCGTGTCGCTCCATGGCAGCGCGTCGAGGCGGCCGCGGCAGTACTCCACAAACAGCTGCTTGATGTCGGCGACGGCCGCCGGCTGGCCCCACTTGCGCAGCACCTGGGTGGCCGACAGCCGCACCTGCGCGCCGTGCACCAGCTCGCCGTAGGCCGGCGAGCGCGCGTCGCCCCAGCGGCCGTTGGGGAACTCGTCCCAGAGCTCGGTGCGCTTGATGTAGCTGCGCGCGTGGTTGCGCCAGAAGATCGGCCGCACGTTCTCGCCGGCGCGCTTCTCGGACAGCGACGGGTTCCAGGGCAGCGGCCGCAGCTCCTGAACGGTCGGCACCAGCTGCAGCTGCTCCAGCACCATGCGCGTCGACCGCTCGAGGTTGATCGTGTAGAAGTGGAAGCCGCGGATGCCGGCCGCCCGCAGGCGCGAAATCATGTTGACGGCGACCTCAATGCCGTAGTCCTTGATTGCCTGGTCGTCATCCTTGATCGGCTCGAGCCGGCTCCAGATCTCCTGCGGCACGCTGATGCGGCACAGCTCCGACATGCGCTTGAACCCGCCGTAGTTCTGGATCGGCATGATTCCAGGAAGAATCGGCATCGTGATGCCCGCCGCGCGGCACTTGTCGACCCACACCAAAAAGTTGTCCACGTCGTAGAATAGCTGCGTCACGACAATGTCAGCGCCGGCGTCCTGCTTCTCCTTGAGGTACTGAATGTCGCGGTCGATGTCCTCGGGGCCGATGCAGCCCTCGGGGTACCCGGCGACCGATATGCAGAAGTAGTCGCCGTATGTGCTGCGGATGTAGCGCACCAGGTCCGTGGCGTACTTGAACTCGCCAACGCTAGGGTCGAACTCGACCGAGTTGTCGGGCAGATCGCCACGCAGCGCCAGGATGTTCTGCACTCCGTGCTCCTTGGCCTTCTCCAGTGCCGACTTGATGAGTCCGAAGTTTGTGTTGGTACATGTCATGTGCATGTTGGCCTCGACGCCGTAGATCGTCTGCGAGTTGGAGCACAGATCCAGCGTCAAGTCCGACGACTTGCCGCCCCACCGCCAGGTGACGTCGATGAACAGCGGCCCGAGGTTGCACATGCGCTCAATGCGGTCGTACAGGTTCGCCACGCCATGTTCCGTTCTGGGCGGGAAGTACTCAAACGACCAGAAGCACCGATCGTCCTCGAGCGCCTTGTTGATTTTGTCGATAATCTTCATGGCTGGTCTTTAGTGCAATAACAAGAAGAGGTAATAAAATTCTATAGAGCAAGAACAGGTTAATAAAAAGTATTAAAAAGAAGGAAAAAGAAAAAGAAAAAGAAATATATGCAAGCGAATAGCAACAGAAACAGTGAGAAGAAAGAGAAAGAGGACGTCGAATGTAAAAATGCTCGTTTCGAGACTTCATTGCTAAAAAAGGCGCTGCACTTCTTTTTGACTTTATTCTATGGGCCAGAAAAGGGTCATTTCTTTTTAAAAAAAATTTGCAGTTGAAGGGGGAGGGGGGGAGAAGGACAAAGACACAAAATTTTGCAGTTGAATCGGGTGCGCTATCGCTGTGAGTGTGAGTTGATGAGTCCGAATCATCTTCGCCCGCCGTTGCCTGCTGCTACTCTTGCTCCTCCTCTTCCGTCCAATAACCCAACGAGTTCGGTCAATCACGGGCAATCATCCCCATCATCACAGCTACAAGCGGAGCAAAACAAACCAAAAAAAGACCACTGAGCTTTTTCCTGTTTAAGTCTGTTAAATTGTTGTCGTTCCTTTTTTCTGCTCAAACAATGCCAATAACAGATTATCGACACGTTTAATTGTTCGTGGTAGCAAAACAACAGTGCATGCATGCCAACTGGTACTATGAACAGAGACAGGCATATTATGCAATTCGTGCTTTTTCCCACAAGGATGCAGCCTACACACTCATTGATCATGGTGGTGGTGTGTGTGCTCGCGGGGTTTTTTTTTGGCCTGGCTGCGTCTATAACCTGGGTTAGAGTACGAAACACATTGCTAAAAGGAAAATAAAAACTATTCGTCATTTATCTCGCCAAGACAAAATTTAAAATAAGCAGTCAAGCCGCACATACATTGGACCTTTTATTTCAACCAAAGTAAACCACACATACGACAAGATGAGCGTAACCGGTAGTTCTGTGAAAAGGTATTTTCCATATAGTAAAGCATTGCAGCAGCTATTTAATATTTTTTTAGTGGTGAATGCCTGTGGAATATTCAACTGGTGCTAAACGCAATTATATTGCTATAAAATAATTTGTTTTGCTTGTAGTGCACTGATGGAAGTCATTGACAGCCACGCTCGCCTCGAAAGAGAGAATACGACAGCAAAAGTAAGTCCCTCCCACTCAACGTGCAATGATAAATTGCCAATATAAATATATTGAATCAAATATATATTGCATTGTTACTCAAATGACCCTTGAAATGTATTATTCCTCTAGGCACAAACAGCGTACCTGCGCGATATCCACCTGGCATTGCTCTTGCAGAGATGCCGGCCGGCATCCATGCTGCATGCACTTCTGGATATCGTGTGCTATTTCTCAGAGTCAAGCGTGTTGCATATTGCAGTGAACAGACAGCGGCTAGGGAGCGGATGGCAAGGTAACAATAGCCTAAATTCTGGTGCTGAAAAACCATTTATAGCTATTGCATTAAAAACCTGTATATATTTGCTAAAACAAGTTCGTTGTTTATTTGTTAATACGTTGTTTTTTTTAGGCAGAGTAGTATTTACTTCGAGTATCAGCAAGCAAAAAGTCGAGCTAGAGTCGCCAGCGGAGCCATGCGAGTCTGGCGGAAGGTACGAATGATATGGTTTTTATTGATTGTGACAAGTTCGAATGCAACAATTGCTGCTGAATACAAAACTAAACACACTTGATTCAACATGTAGCGTGTTTTGTTACCAGCTGCCATCTCTGCGTAACGAATGGACAGCGGATTTTTCGCTCGTATTTTCGCCACAGTACACAGTGCCTCAGTACATAACATTGCCGATATCCGCGCATCTGGACATCCTACATATTGACATCATCGACACCCTCCTCCCATGCACACCAGCATGCGTGCGGCTGGCAGAGTCGCAAGTAACCACAATCAAGATGCCGTGCGTGTGCGAGATATGGATCAAGCCCACACCCACACCCACACTCTCACTCGCATCCGCACCGACAGCCAACACGGACAACATGGATAAGTTGGCAGGCAAGCTGGTGTTGTCGCTGCTATTTGAGAACACACCTCCGCAGCAGCAGGCACAGAAGAGAATGGCCGCGGTCATGATTGGTGATGCGGCAGCCGAGTTCTGTGTGCCCAAGGTAGCCAATGCAGCAGGATTAAATGAACCAGCAGAATTGCACGATGTGGTCAGTGTAATGTGCATTAGCGAACAGGACCACTTGGCGCTGCGGATCTGCTCTGATGAGTGCAGCGCGCACTCGGCTGTCGTGCTGGCTGCGATCAAGAGGCTGGCGCTGCTCCTTGACTTGGACTTGGATGATAACATGAGCGTGTCCAGTGGCAATCTGTCGGGAATAGGGGACGAGTGCGAGCTCGAGCTGCGCAGCTCCTCGGATACCAACACCAACACAGAATTGCTGCCCACGCGTATTTTGCAGTTGTGGAGTGCGAGTGGCCACAATTACTGAGGCTAATAGATGGTTAAATATTTTTATATAGATACTTATTTAGAAAGCAGCGGCGGCGGGGGGCACAGCAGCAGCGCGTCGGCGGCTCTTTGCAGGCGACGCTTGAGCTCGCTAACAGGGAAATACGC